GGAGTCTGCTTCTCCCTCTGACCCTCCCCCCTCTCATGCTCTCTCTATCTCATTCTCTCTCTAAAATAAATAAATAAAATCTTTAAAAAAAAAAATAATGTAAGCCCTGAATATCCTTCTGACAAACAAATATATGACATTACCATATTGAGAGGATGTGAGTAGGGTAGGGATGTGTTTTATTTGGGTAGAGGGTAATATATAAAGATTTCTGTTAAATACATAATTTTAATACAAGCATCAGGAGGGAAGGGTTTTTTTTGTTGTTGTTGTTCACCATGAATTGCTAGTGCCTAGAACTATGGCCCCCACATAGAAGGTTCTCAAATAACTGTTGCATGAATGACATTTTCTGCTTCAAAAAGTTTAATACATGGAATCTCTTTCCCTCTAAAATTAAGACTAGCAGTTTCAAAATTTAAAAGTAATTACATAAAATAGTTAAGCTGAGCATCACAATACTTGAGATGATTTAAAAGCACAAAATATTCCTGAGAAACTATTCTTTGTAAATCTTTATGCTAGCTGGTTTGATTGGGGATGCCTTGGAGCTCAGAACAGTTCCAGGGAAATCAAAATGTAATTTTCTCAATTTAGAAAGCAAGTTATTGTATTGACTTTTCCTTCCATTCACTCACTAATATAATACAAGGATGGGGTGAGGAAAACTGCTTTTCGAGCTGGTGTACTTCGGGAGAGAAGTCCTCAGTACTTCTCACATTTGATTCCAGAAAGTTTTTTACCAGGGCAGTGATTCCTTCTATTCAATAAAGAGGTGCGTCTTTGGATCAAGGATCTGTTTTGCCATCTAATGGATCTAAATCAGGTCTATTTAGTTCAACTTGGCTGCGAATTTACGGCTGACTCGGACTGTAATGAACCCATGGAACTTTTCACTCATTCATCCTCTCGCTCTCTCTCCCTTCACCGAACATTTGCTGTACATCTACTGTGTGCCAGACACTGCAAGAACAGGAGGAAGAAGACCATGTCAAATAATTCTGGGTGCTTACAGCTAAAATAGCCGGTCCCACTGGAGCACGCAAGAAAGTATCCAAAGCGCGAATCCAGGTATTTTGGTGTTACGATCTGCCTGCGAGTCGGGTGCACACTCTTGTCAGAGGCCTTTAAAGAAACTTCCGCCCAACTTTACCCGGGGTAGCAGCTCTTTGCGGGGTTGCGGGCAACCGTCGCGCCCCGCGGGAGCGCAAGGCACAGCTGGGGATTGTACCCCTCTTAGTGGCAGCGCCGCTGGTCCCCAGCACTTCAGAAAAGTCCTACCCCTCTCCAGTCCTCAACCCCAAGGATTCAAAGTTTCCCCCAAATTCATACTGTGGGCCTCCTGGGAGGCCAAACCCCAACCTGACTCCACCAATGCGCCCCACCTGCTTCTCAGGCTCCGCGCGCCACTAGCTTCGTCCGGGCTAGGCAGCTTGGGGCTCTAGGGTCTGGGGCCTTCCGGAGCTTCTTTCCTACCCCCTCCCTCCTCCCCTCTGTCCCCTACGCCGGCGCAGCTGTTTTTCCGAGGCCGCAGAGCTCGTGGCGGGGGTGAGGGTGTGTGTGTGGGGGGGAACGGTGCAACCCCGAGCTGCTGGAGCCAGCTACAACGCTCTGCCAGACCTCAGAGACGGTGGCAGTGGTCCGGGAACAGGCGGTGTAGAGGGCAGAGGCGTTAGTCAGGTAGTGCCTCCCAGCTGTGCCTTTCCACTCCTGCCAGAATCCGGGAGAAAGGAACAAGAAGTCTCTTGTATTTGTAGGGCCTTGGGAGGAAGGGCCCTGCCCGGCTAGCCGTCCGCTACAGCCCTGGGCTACTTTGTAGGTCCCGCGCAGCGTTCCGGGGTTAGGGGCGACTCTGGGTCATGCAGCCACTGTGCGCACTGCCTGCTGGGGTAGCAAGCAGGCCCGGCCAGAGCCGCCGGATTCGAGGATCAGGATTCTTTGGGGGTGTTACCTGGAGTTTCAATTGCCCCGGTGCAATTGAAAATAAGACCCGAGGGCCCCAACAGGCAGCCCCTGAGCGCCTTTCTGATCTGCAAAAGCAGTAAGCACCAGCGGGTGGGATCCCGCGAGCCTCTGGCTTCGCTCTCTGCACCGCACCCCGGGGCGAGGCTATTCGAGAGGCTTCCTGAGGGCAGGAGGGGCCAGAGGGCGCATTTGGGGGCACAGCCCTTACCCCCCAAAAGGACCAGCCTAAGGCCCCGAGGTGTGTGTGGAAGTATACTTCTTCACTTCTTCCACACTGCCTCTACCCGCCATCCCACTCTGCCCGGTCGGCAAGAGCTGGGGCTGTTCTCGCCGCACCCAGGTGCGGCGAGCGCCCGCAGCGCGGACTCCCGAGAACTCGGCTTTCCTTAAGAAATAAAGCAGAGGTTGAGTGCGTGCGCCCGTGCCTGGGGAACAATGTGCACCCCTGTGTGTGAAAAACGTGTCTATTTCCTAAAGCAGAAACTCGCGGGGTCGCTTTTGGGTTTGGGCGAGGTTGGTTTGTGTTGTTGGGCGCGCGCTCATTTGCGAACAGCGGGTGGAGGCGCGTAAGTTGCAGCAGGTGCAGGCTCTCTCCCCGAGTGTCCGCGTGTGAGTGCGAAAAGCCGAGCGGTGGTTGGGGTCCAGGTGTGTGAATGCCGGACGTGCGCCCCGCGCGTAGCGCGAGTGCGCTCACCAGCCCGCCTGTAGCTGAGAGAGGCGCGTGTGTGAAAGTCCGAAGGCTGCCCTTTGAGCTTGCAGCACCGTCTCTCCTTTGTGGGACCGCGCAGGACCCCCGCCCACTCAGCAATCAAGCGCTTCAGAGAAGTGGGGCATGGGTGTGGAGAGACACCGGTAGAAACCCGGGCACAGGCTGTCCCAGCCCAGCAGCTTGGCAAACAGAAGCCCGAAGCACAGGACAGCTGTGTAAACCAACCGCGGCGCTGCAGTGGAGGGTCCTGGGTTAGAGTGGAGGGTGCTGAGCCCGCAGTCGAGGTCTCGGGAGTAGGAGGGAAATGCCTAGCGCTCGGTGTAGCCAGTGCCGGCTTAGCCCCTTCCCCAGTCCTCCCTCCCACTCCCACCTGTCCCAGACGAGTGAGGCGAAGGCGGCTTGGCTCGCCAGACTAGAAGCAAAGCTACTTTGCATAGCGCAGGGTGCCAAGGCGCAGGTGGAGTGGGGGGTGGGGGAGAGCAGGGGATATCTCAGGAGTACCCAAGGTGGTCCAAGGAGATTAATCTTTCGAGTTCCCTCCCATTCCCCCCGCCCCCATCCAACTCTTTTACAGTGGGCTCTTTCAGCTGAGATGCCTTTTTAGAACCCCAGACTGCTGTTTAACCTCCTGGGGGTCCAGGCGGCCAGTCTGGGGTCGGTACTGGCATAGTTGGAGGTGCTTTGAGGTCGGAGTTCAGGCACCAAGAAAGTGAGAGAAGCTCCTCTGGCCCCTCACTGTAGGTGACGCCAAATTCCCCGCTTGGCCCCCACTCTCTGGACGTCGAAAGCTCTCCACCCCTCCCCGCCCGCCAGCTCTCCAAGCAATGACCTCATTGCAAAGACAGCTAGAGCCGATGGTTCCCCTCCCTAGAGAACCAGTGCAGGGAGCGCGAGCAATGACGCAATTGGAGCTGGGTCGGTCCTGGCCACTTTGGATTGGCCGCGCCGACTCGTGGGGACTCCCCTCCCACTATCGCTGGAATAAGAGACCAGAGCTCCGCGGGGAAGACGCCCGCAGCAGGCGTTGTGTCCATCGGGGCGGACCGGCCGCTACAGCTGTCCAGAAACTCCAGGCTCCAGGTGAGGAACTTCCCACTCCGCTCACTCTAGTAACTTGCCTCTCGACTAGTTCATCTAGTTTGCTCCAACTGTCTGCCTTTCTTTTTGCCTCTCAAGGCCATTGCGGCCCAGCTACAGGCAGGTGCTCCTAGTTCTCTGTCCGGCTCAGGGGTAGGAGGGCGGTTGGGACAGTCGGAGCACTGTCTTCTAGTTAGCGCAGGTGGAACTCCAAGCATTCCTAGGGCTTCGCCTGGGAGCTGGAAGCTCCGCGAGCTCAGGTAGGCGGGTCTGCGGGCCCCTGCTTTGGTGCACCTTGGCGTGCAGGATCCAGCCTGAGTTTGGTTTGGGAGTGCCCTGCGCGATCTGTGTCCTGAGGGATCACGTTTGATTCTGGGGACGGTGGAGCCTGGAGCCTTCCTATGAGGTGCCGCCAGCCCACGAGCGTCCCTGAGACACTTGCGGAGACCTGGGGGTGTGCAGTCAGCCGAGCAGGACGGGGGGCTCACCTCCGGATGCTGGCCACCCGCACCTACAGCTAAACTGCGCTCCAGCATAGGGGGCTGGGCTGCCAGAGCCCAGACACCAGTAACTGGCACGTTAAAATTTTCCCCAAGTCCAAACCCACGCACTGAGAGATCAGTGCTCCTTCCCAAGGTACCCTTCCCTCTTTCCTCTGCCACGCCTTAGCGGGGGTCCAGCCGAGGGGAAGATGGCCGTAGATTTCTCAGTCCCTGAGCAGACAGGCGCAGTGGAAGAACTTATCTTATGAGGGTGGGTCCCCTCTTGGTCTCTGCAGAAGGCAAAAGGTGTGCGTTTGTGTGCATGCACTCGTGTGTGGCTTCTCCCTGATTTTCCACAGAACTCCACCACACCCCGGGACACCTGTTTCTGCTCTACCAAGCCGTTCACGGCCTGGTATCTTTTGAGGTTCACAGCAGCCCCTCTGGCAAATGCACGGAGGCTTGGGGAGGTGGGTAACTTGCCTGAAGCCACAAGGCCGTTGTGGCAGAGGCAGGACAGGAACCCAGGTGTGTGGGCTCCAGGCCTTGCTTGGTCCCCATGCAGTGGTAATGTCTTTCTCTCCTTACAGAGAGGCATCATGGGCTTCTGGAAGACCTCCCCCTTCTTGGCTTTCAGCATCTTGGTCCTGTGCCAGGCAGGCAGCCTCCAGGCGGCACCATTCAGGTGAGGCAGCCCGAAGCCATAGAGCATTCCCCTTCTACTGCCCCTGGCATCAGGCAGTTCTGTGCCTCTGAAGTCACTGCCACAAGGCTACAAGACCCGTGGGGGGACATTGAATTCAGCCCTGCGAGGGGGCGTGGGGGTGGAGGGCACATCCTCAGGGAGAGTCACAGGGACCAGGAAGCCTTGCCACTTATCCTGGGGAGGAGGAAGGCAAGGGCTCAGAGCCTCTCTTGGCTTTGCTTCCCCTCACCAGGTCTGCTTTGGAGAGCCCCCCAGACCCCACGGCACTCAGTGAGAAGGAAGGCCGCCTCCTGCTGGCTGCTCTGGTGAAGGCCTTTGTGCAGACGCAGAGAAATGAGCTGGAGCAGGAGCAGGAGGAGATGGAGGGCTCCAGGTAAGGCCCCCCACTCTGCCCTGGCGTCTCTGAAAGGACAGATCCCAGAGAGGTAGGAAAAACAACATCTGGCCAGGAGTCCAGCAGCTGTTCACCAGGCCCTGGGGTGCAGCCGGGCTTGGGCTCCATGGACTACAGTGGTCCCGGTGTAGCCCAAGAGACCGTGGTTAGACGCATTAAAGAGGCCCATTCCTGAAAGCTGTTAGGAAATGGAATGAGGACGTATAGAATCCCTTACTCTGGGCATTGGTCTTGCCCTACTGAGGAGCACTTCCAGCATTGGTTGACTTGGGACTGGTAAGTATGAAGCCAGGGGATGGACTTGTTATATCTCAGGATGTTTTAGAAATTTAACCTGTGTGCGTTGTTCTTTCACACCCACAAGGAGTCTTCATTGCACATTTGCAAGGTGAAGCCAAAGGCTTTGCAGAGGGTGGGCTTGGGTAGAGCAGTGTCTGAGGTAGGTCTGGGGTCTTTATTGTGTAGGATCTGTGGAGACACGCATGTTGTCCTGGGGCCAGACACCCTTCCCTCCCTGTGTCCCCTGAGCTTGGAGCACACACCAGCCCCGGGCCTGGCTATGGCCCCGTGGGTCAGAGGCATGTGATGCACATGCAGCTATCCCGAGAATCTCAGTGCAGAGCATGAGGACTGACATAATGCAGCATGAGGAATGCTAGAAAAGGCTACCCCTTCCCCACGCAGCCCTTCCCCACCCTGCCTGGGGTTCAGCAAACCTCTAGGTTCTCCTGATGGAGGATGTGTGAGCTGCCCTGCTGCCTGCCCCTCCCGCCTCTGCTCGAAGTGCCCCCTCCCTGGCCCGACCTTCTGCATGACTGCCCTCCAGGGCAGACCTGGTGCATGGTATTGTCTGGCATGTCTTTTCCCTGCAGCCTGGACAGCTTCCGAGCTAAGCGGTGCAGTAATCTGAGTACCTGTGTGCTGGGCACATACTCGAAGGACCTCAACAACTTTCATACATTCTCTGGCATCGGCTTCGGGGCTGAAACTCCTGGGAAGAAAAGGGACATAGCCAGCGGCTTGGAGAGGGGCCGTTAACCCCACTTTGGGGCCCTCCAGGATGCCAACTGAACTCCTCCCACTCTTTCCTGATTTCCCTTCTTGCTCCCATTGATGAACTTAACGCATGCAGATCTTACTTTGTTCTTCAAGCTGGTATTGGTAGCTTTGCTTATGACCGAGAATACTGGGGATCTCAGGATGGAAGGGAAGAGAGCAGGACTTCTAGCCCAGGTTAGAGGTAAGAGTGAGGGAAGCTTTTTGAGATCCCAGAGGATTTCAAGGCAGAGTCCTCCAATTTCTGCTTCATCCCTCATGCTTCATCATTGATGAATAAACCTATTTTCTAAAAGGATTTGCACCGTGGTGGTCATTACTCTGGTCCCCGTCCGAGGCTCGAGAGTGACCAGAACCTATGTTCAGAAGTAGCTTTAGCCTCAGCGTAGCCGGATACAGGCCTTGGTGAGTGGTCCCTGTGAACCAGCTCCACCATCAAGAACAGGTGTGCTGAGGAGCAGGTAAACACTTCTGGGGGAGGATGCTGCATCCCTGCCCTCTGAGCCTCTTCCAGGTAAGACTTCAGGGAATTTTCATTTTCCCATGGAGAGTGGTTTTGTTGGTGTCTGCGACTGCTGTATGGCTGCTATATGTGCTCCTTGCATGTCTTGGTAGGGCTGGGCCTTCGGTGACCACTTCCTCCTGGGTCTAAAAGGACTGTATGTAAGTGACAGGAAGTGCAGGTTTCAGTACCTGATTCCTGGAGTCTAGCTTAGCACTGGGTTTTTTTTCTTTTTAAGTTTTTATTTAAATTCCAGTTAGTTAATGTACGGTGTAACATTAGCTTCATGTGTACCATATAGTGATTACACACTTCCACATCACTGGCACTGGGTTTTTTTTCACGAAGGTCTTTGGGCAGGGCTCCTAGCGGAAGCTGCCAGGCCATTTCTCCTAACAGCTTTGATAATTGCATTTAGGAGAAACTCTTATTCTTAAGTGGTATGTCGAAGAGCTGCCATTCCCTTTATGAAGGCCCCATGAGGCAGGCTCCTGTCTCTCGCCTCTCACTGATAGGCCTTGCCTTCTTTCTCCATCCTGCAAATCAGCATCACTGCCCAGAAGAGATCCTGCAACACTGCCACCTGTGTGACCCATCGGCTGGCAGGCTTGCTGAGCAGATCTGGAGCTGTGGTGAAGAACAACTTTGTGCCCACCAACGTGGGCTCCGAAGCCTTTGGCCGTCGCCGCAGGGACCTTCATGCCTGAGCAGCTACTGGACTCCAGGAAGAAGGTGACCGCCCTTGTTCTGTTGGATGGGAGGGGAAGGAATTTGGAGGTTATGATCCACATGTTGAACCCCATTGGACCTGGTAGGGTCTTGAGATCCCTTCTTTCCAATCACATTCTTCCTTCTGAGTAGTGAGTTTCTTCAGCAACTCAGCCTGAAATCAGAGCACTAGGATAGACTACAGACATGCAGTGTCATCTTTCTGAGAGGAGAAATGAAAAAAAAAAAAATGCTTGCTTGCTGATTGATAGTTGCTTTTTTTCCCTCGTCATTTGCCTTAAAAGCCTGTTTACATCTCAGACCCATACTTTGTAAATGCTGTTTCAAGAAGCACTCCTGTAAATGTGTGTTCTTTTTAGTAATAACGGTGATTATTCTCTTCTTGTCCTTCTTCTATTTCTCTTTCTTCTCCTTCTCCACTTCCTCCTCCTTCTTCCTCTTCTTTTTTATTTATTTTTTTCCCATCTCAGGTAACCATGAAGCTGAACTCACCACTTCTATTAATTTCTGTTGACAACACTTGGTGAGAAGGCCCCATGGAAGATATACATGTTTGCATCCCAATAGATACTGAAAAAAAGCACCTTTGTCACTTGAAAGGAATGAAACTGAATGCAAAATAGGCTAATTCCATATGTATTGTGTATTCTTTTTATATTTGATTCTGTGTGCGGTCAGTGTGATGGCATCTATTATTGGCTTATCTGGTAGCAAATTGGTTCTTTGAGAGCTATCCTGTGGATCATGGCGGCTCTGCCAAACCTTAGGTGGACAATAAATCATTGTCTTTGTGGCCTCTAGGGACACACGGTAATGGTGATGCTTTGCCTTGTTGTCTAAGAACATGATTGTATACTTTGTTTAAGGAAATCTCAGTATTGTACCATTTGTGAACTTCATCAAGATTAAAAACATATTTTGGATACATGTGTTTTGAGACCCTGGTGGTTCATTTCAACTTGTTTCCCTGTGTAATAATAATAACAATAGTAGTTGATGTTTTTTGAGTGCTTGCTCAAAATGGACCAGATGATGTTCTAAGACAGTGCTGTATACCTATGAATTCATTTAATCTTTATGACAACTCCGTGAAGGAGATCCCATTATTATTTCCACTTTGTATCTGAGGAAACAGAGGCCTGGAGAAGTGAAGTCCAAGGTCACATAGATAGATGGTGGCAGTCTCAGGTGGTGGTTTCCAGAGCCTATAGTTGAAACCACTGCCCTATATGCTTCTCGACAGTGGCTTCTGATGTGTTCCAGAGACCCGCTGGCCATCCTTTGACCTAATTGCCTCACATGGTGGACCCTCAGATTTTGAAGAAAAATGGAAAAAAAACATACAAACAACCTGACTTTATATAATAAAGTGGATCCCTTCTACCCCATTACTTGGTGCTGCAGGTTGAAAGTTTGTTTCCCCCCCACCCCCAAATTGTATATTGAAACCTAATGCCCAAAGTGATGGTCTTGGGAGGTGGGGCCTTGGGGAGGTGATTAGGTCATCAGGGCTATCCCTTGGCCCTTACAGGTGAGGATGGAGAGCATTCCCTTGCTCCTTCCGCCATGAGAGCTTACAGTCAGAAGACTGCTCTGAGGGAGGAAAGGGGCCCCCACAAGACACGGAATCTGTGGGTGCCTTGATTTTGGATTTCGTGGCCTCCCGAACTGAGAAATAAATATTTGTTGTTTAGAAGCCACCCGGTCTGTGCCATTTTGTTATAGCAGTCCCAATGGACTAAGACACTTGGCTTCAACAATGATGCTTTTATGGTCATTGTTGTTGCATCCATTCACCATCTATTACACCCCCCACATGCATTATAACACCAGTGTATCCATAAATACTTCCCCAAATATGGGAAGGACTTTTTAAACATAACCACAGTCCCATTTAACAGCTAAAATAAATTAACAGTAATTTCTTAATTCCTATCTCTCACATCCAGTCATGCTTCAAATTCCTCTATTATCTTTTTGTTCTCAATTCCACATATAAGTGAGACCATCCAGTACTTGTCTTTCTCTGCCTGACTTATTTCATTTAGCATAAGGACCTCGAGGTCTACCCATGTTGTAACAAGTGGCAGGATTTCCTTCTTTTTTATGGAGAATAATCTTCCATTACACCTGTATCTATATATTTCTCTCTCTGCATATATAAATTACATATACATATCACATGTCTTTAACCTTTATCTGTTAATAGACACTTATTTCGTTTCCATGTCTTGTGTATTGTAAGTAATGCTGCAGTGAACATGCGGGTGCAGATACCTTTTTGAGATAATGATTGCATTTCCTTCAGATAAATACCCAGAAATGGAATTGCTGGATCATATGGCAGTTCTATTTTTAATTTTTTGAGGAATCTCCATACTGTTTTCCATTGTGGCTGCACTGATTTACATTCCCACCAACAGCCCACAAGGGTTCCCCTTTCTCCACGTCATTGCCAACATTTGCTATTTTGTATCTTTTTGATAATAGCCATTCTAAGAGTTGTGACATAATATCTCACTGTGGTTGTGATTTGCATTTCCCTGATGATTGGCGATGTTGAGCGCCTTTTCATGTTCCTGTTGGCCATTTGTGTATCTTCTTTGGAAAATGTCTATTCAGATCCTTCTGCCTTTTCCAGAATGTCATATAAATGAAATCAGTATGTAGCTTTGAGTCTTAGCATAATGCATTTGAGATTTATCCATGTTGTTGCATGTATGAATAATTTGTTTCCTTTTATTGCTGGGCAGTATTAGATTGTAGGCATGTACTGTAGTTGGATAATTCATTTATCTGTTGAAGGATACTTGGATTGTTTCCAGTTTTTGGCATTTATGGATTCAGCTCCTATAAATTTCTGTGTATAGATTTTTGAGTGAAAATAGGTGTAGTGGGATGAATGGGGCCCTTCAAAAGATATGTCCATGTTCTGATCCCCGACAACATGTGAATATTACCTTATTTGGGAAAAGGGTCTTTGGTGATGTAATTAAATTAAGGATCTTAAAATGAGATCATCTTGAATTATCTAAGTAGGTCTTAAATCCAGTAATACGTTTTTATAAGAGGTACACAGAGAAGATACACACAGAGGAGAAGGTGATGTGAAGACAGAGGCAGAGTCACAAGCCAAGTTTTTAGCCAGCAACCATTAGAAGCTATAAGAGGCATGGAGTGGATATTCCCCTAGGGTCTCTGGAGGGAGTAGAGACCTGTTGTCACCTAGATTTTGGACTTCTGGCCACTGGAATGGGAGAATAAGTTTCTGCTCTTTTAAACCACCCAGTTTGTGGTAGTTTGTTATGATAACCCTAGGAAACTAATACAATAATTTTTTATTTCTTTTAGGTAAATACCTTGGAATGGGATTGCTGTCATTTGGCAAGTATATATATATTTTTCCTTAAAAAGTCATTTATTTTTATCATTACCTTCTAATCTCTGTCCATATACATTTACATTCTTGATAATTGTTACCAAATAATCTATACATAACATCATGTATGCTGCTTGTTATTACATATACTATAATAAACATAATTATACTGCTTAATTAAGTAAAGTAAGAAAAATGAATTACAAAAACTTTGGAAAATCAAGACATGATGAAAGATTTCAGTACGTTTAATTCAACCACCATGATTATTTTATTGTCTTCCTTATATATATATATATATTTTACATAGTTCTATACTGTATATATTATGTTGTGTTTTTTAAATAAAATTTTTTTTTTTAGAGCAGTTTTAGGTTTACAACAACATTGAGAGGAAGGGACAGAGATTTCCCATATACCTCCTGTTCCTACATGTCCCACACATGCATAGCTTCTCCCATTATCAACGTCACTCACCAGAACAACTATTTATATATTTAAAATTAAATTATATTAAAATTAAAATATATATTTAAAAGAATATATATATATTTTTGCCAAGGATGAACCTACATTGACACATCATAATCATCCAAAATCTAGAGTTTATTTCAAAGTTCACTCTGGTGTTGTACACTTATGGTTTGGAGAAGAGCATAATGACATATATCCATAATTATAATCATATAAAGTATTTCACTGCCCTAAAGATCTTCCATGCTCAGTCTGTTCATCATTCCCCTGGCAACCACTGATCTTTTTATTGTTTCCATGGTTTCACCTTCTCCAGACTATCATATAGTTGAAATCATACAATATGTAGCCTTTTCAGATTGGCTTATGCCAATTAGTAATATGCATTTAAGTTCCTCCATGTTTTTTCATGGCTTGGTAGCTCATTTGCTTTTAACACTGAATAATATTCCACAGTTTATTCATTCACCCATTTTTAAAAATAATTTCTATTTTTCTGCTAGTCATAGCTATCTTTTCGTTGATTTTAAGAGTGTTCATAATTACTTCATAGAACATGCTATTGCATGGGTTGGGTTTGTGGAACTTCAGTTACCCTTGAAAGTATCAAGAGACAAGGGAGGGAGAGGAAAAAGACACCCCTCCCCTCAACGGCCTTTGGCAGTCAAAGACCTCCTTTTACAGTGACTTTTGTCAAAGATACAGGTTTTAGCTCTCTGCACGGTCACTATCACTGCGGCCTCACACGGCCGTGCAGCTCTGACATTGGGGCTGGTGTTGGAACAGGGCCAAGAGCAAAAAAGACAAGAAAAAGTAATGGAGATTCTAGATTGAAGGGGCTCCTGTTCCTGTCCCTCTGGCCAGAAAGAGGGGAATTCTCTCAGGGTTTTGTTGTCTGGGCCCACTGCACAGTTCCATGATGGAGACAACCTTTGGGCTAAATTTAAAAGACAAAAGAGAAAAAAAAAAAGAACCAGAAAACTTACTGGCATTTTTGTCACTCTTTTTCCCCCCCAATGTACCCTAATGTACCTGCCACTGACTGATTTTAAGAGTTCCCAGGTAGATTCTTTTTGTATTCTGTCTGGAGGTTTCAGTTGCAATCAGTGGAAGAGACAGGTTGTAGTGGTTCACTCCATTGTGGTCAACACATTTATTGACCATAATGCAATTAAGGTAGAAGATAATAATAGTAATAATAATATAATTTTTTAAAACTTGGAAATTATGTAAGTTTTTAAAACAAGCCAGAAACCAAAGAAAAAATCATAATGGAAAATTTAAAATATCTAGAATTGAATGGTAATGCCTCAGAATTTGAGGATGCAGTGAAAGTGGTAACTTTAGAAAATTTTATAGCTCTATATAAAATTGTTAGAAAAGAAAAAAATGGGTAAAATTTAATGAACTATATTTTATTTTATTGTTTTAACTGACCTGTTCTCTTGTTTCCCTTTTTTTTTTTTTTTAAGTTTTATATCAGTTATGTCTGCTCTAATCTTTATTGTTTCCTTCCTTCTGCTGGTTTTGTGGGTTTTTTTTTGGGGGGGTTTGGGTTCTTCTTTTTCTAGCTCCTTTCAGTGTAAGGTTAGGTTGTTTATCTGAGATTTTTCTTACTTCTTGAGGCGCTTATATTGCTATAAACTTCCCTTTTAGAACTACTTTTATTGGATCCCAAAGGTTTTGGGCCATGGTATTTTCATTTTCATTTGTTTCCATGTAATTTTTTATTTCTTCTTTGATTTCTTAGTTAACCCATTCATTGTTTAGTAGCATGTTATTTAACCTCCATGTATTTGTGCTCGTTCCAGATTTTTTCTTGTGGTTGATTTCTAGTTTCATAGCATTGTGGTCAGAAAAGATGCATGGTAGGACTTCGATCTTTTTGAATTTGTGAGACTTATTTTGTGGCCTAATATGTGATCAATTCTGGAGAATGTTCCATGTGCACTTGAAAAGAATA